CTGTAGAGGGCAGTGTCACTGGCCCTCATATGTGGGATCCGAACCGGGGCCCTCTGGCATCCCAAGCCAGTTCTTAACCATCGCGCCACTCGGCTGGCGTAAAAGTACATTTCTTATCTCTTCTTCTAAAATATAATTTGATAGAAGAAAGAGTACTTCATCACTAGGGAAAGAAAGAGAGCTCCATTTTTAGTCCATTTAAGCAGTATGTCCCAGTTGCTACAATGCAGTTAGGGCTAGATTTGCAGGGGATCCCTCAAGCAATTGGGAAGCAAATCCAGGGCCCATTCTGAGACTTACATTCCCAAATCCTATGCAAGAAATTTTCCATGAAAATCCATCTGTCTTCACTAACACCGTTGGGGAAATTTTAGGGTTGGCAATCCAGGGAGAAAAGCAAGGGAATAATTACATTTAGTTATCTAGTTATCTTCCCTTGGACTATGATAGAAAGGTCTTATGTTAAGGAAAGATGTAGTCTCTCTCTCTCTCTCTCTCTCTCTCTCTCTCTCTCTCTCTCTCTCTCTCTCTCATCTCTTTCTCTTTCTCTTTCTCTTTCTCTCTCCCCATGCACTGGACTCAATCTCAGCATAAGACATTTGGCCTCCGTTGTATTGTGCAATGCCTGAGAATGCCAGGACAACTCCCTCTACAAGGATGTGCCAGGAGACAAAAACCATGGCAGAGAAATGGCTGGAAAGGTGAACAAAGACACTGCCCCCAGCCACATCTGAGCAGAAAGGGAGGGCAAGCAAAAACATGGTGAGAAGCATCCAGCTTCCTCCTCTGCAGCTGCGTGCTTTCACCAGGAGACAGATGTGTTGTCTATCTCAGCCCTCTTCTTGGCCCCTTGGAACTTCACAAAGCTGGTTTCTGCACCAGTGAGTTTATTCCTCAGCCCCACTCCTGTTTAAAGAGATATAGAAAAATCCATTCCCTCAGGTTAGCTCTCTAAGAAGACATTTATCTATTTCATGTGTTTCATCCCCAGGCTGTTCTTGACCTTGGGGACTCAGAGTCAAGAGTGTTTTGATACCAGATGTAACCCTTTGGCTGGGTCAGAGGAACTGTGGTGGGGGCAGGGAGTGTGTGTGGAGACAGTATGCTGGAATATACGCTCCAAAACCCCAAAACATGCCCAAGAATAACAAGAACATTAACCACTGACCCAGAGGCTGGTGAAATTCTATCTCTACATCTCCCTCCACCAGTAAACATGAAAATGCCATCCCCAAAGGGATGGAGGAAGCCTCCAATGAGAGGTCCAGAGAGAATGCTAGGAGAAGGGCTGGTTTGGGAAAGACGTCCAGCAACTCTACACTCTTCAATCACTGGAAAAATTTTCCCCAAGTGACAACTAAATAGAGACATTTTTCACTAGCTGGGAAAAACAACAGACTTGCACTTTTCAGAATAATGGCATTAAACTTTAGAATGCCGTTTTGTCACTTTTTCTTCGGCTGTCCCCACCTCTTCATCTTCATCTCATGCCGTTCTTCCTTACTTCACTCCATCCCACTGACAGTCTTTCTGTCCCTCAAGTGAGCCAAGTTCAGCCCCAACTCAAAACTGTCTTACTCATTATTCCCTCGAGTTACTCCCCCAGATCTTTTCCGAGCACCTTCTTCCTGTGTTCAGCTCTCACATCAGATGTCACCTTCTCAGAGAATTTTCCCCTAGCTACTTATCTACTGTTGTGCCTGGCCATTTTCTCGCATTTTCTTCTTTCTTTTCTTTTGAATAGTCACCACTCTCTGATATGCTTTGATTTATTTATCCACATATGTATTGTTTATTCCCCTCAACTAGATGTACACTCCAAGAGAAAAAGGCCCAGGCCTTTCTTGTTTATGGCTGTATCTCTTGTACCTAGCATGTAATTGGCACTTGTTGATTGGATAGATGGATAGACAGATGGATGGATATAATCAGTGATTTGGCTCAAGTATTTTATCCAGTTTGGTCAGACCTCTAGCTCCATGGCTCACACCAAAGAAACAAACTTGGGACTCTAAGATTATACCTAAAGCCAGAGTGGTTAATAAATTGATATTGTGAGAAGGAAACCATAATTTGATTCTAATTCTAAATGAGCACCTGTTCTCCTTCAAAATAGCACATTTGTGTTAATGTGTTTAATGTTTAATAAATAGTCCATAACTCACTTACCCTCAGAAAATTCCCAAGCAGCAGTCTTAAAGAAGTTTCCTGATGATTTGGCTTGTTGAAGATGGAGAAATTAAACCATGGGGAATAAAAATAAGTTGAGAATGCCATCCTGGCTTAATTCCAGCCACTGCAATTGTCCTTGCTCCTGAATTTAAAGAACTGTTAAGGGAGGCATTTTTAAATCACGCATCTCCTATTTATTTGTTCATGTGTTTGTTTGTTTTAGAATAACCTCAACGTGGAAAGTGACTCTACACCAGAAACCAGCTTTCCTTTCTCCAAAGAAGCACCAGGGGGGCACCTGGATCACCAGGCTGCTCACCAGCCCTTTCCCAGACAACGATTCCAGCAAGAGGCTGGGCACCCTGCATTGCAAAGAGATGGCCCCAGATCCTTTCTCCTTGATCTTCCAAACTTTCCAGATCTTTCCAAAGCTGATATCAATGGGCAGAATCCAAATATCCAGGTAAGACTTAGCAGCTGGAAGGTGGAAGAAAATGAAACAGTCCATCTCTTTGCTTCCTGATTTGATTTCAGAGCAACTGCTGCCTTACCTCACTTTTCTTTTTTAACCCCTTAATGAATCCTGCCTATGATCATGTAATCTCCATAAGAATAGTGTTGTACTACATCTGTGTAATCATCCTCATAGTGAGATGCACCATTATCTTATGGACCACTAAAAAAAGAAAATATTGCTAATTAAAACATGACACACCAATGATTATAAGATACATCCTAATATCAGAGACATTGAAATGTAAAAACAAAACAAAATAAATAATTTGCCCTGAAATTGGTGAACTATGGTAGCTGTAGGAAAGGGCCAAACTAACACGTGAGTAGACTGGGCAAATCATAGTATGATTTCAAAGGTACTACAGAAGGCACTCTCCTTTAAATGCCTCCCTAGCTTGCCTTGGACACCAGAAATTCCTTCAGGAGGTAACAGCACTTCAGTTGCTCTAAAGTATAAATGACTCATAAAAAGAATTTGATCAGAGGAAGGGAGGTGAGAAAAGAAATTCCTAAGGGACAGATGAATACACACCACTAAGATACAATGGGATGAAGTGAGGGAAATGCGAGGTTATGGAAAGGGTTGTCTGGGATTGAAAATTGTAGTACTCATTTACACTGAAATAGAACAGTATACTTTAGAAAGCAAATGTTGATCCAATTTGACTCTCCCAACACCCTCATGAAAGAGATGAAACACGTCAATGTTCCAATATTATCAATTATGCAACCAATACTCAGACCTTGGTTTATCCAAGGTCACATGGCGAGAAAACAGTAGTTTGGGACTCAAATCCAGGCTCTCGGGCTCCCAAGAAACTTACCCCACCAATCAGTGTTTCAGAGACAATCTCCTAATTGTGGATTTTGCTTGGATTTCCATCTGTTTCTCCCAGAAATGGTCCCATGACAGCCGAGAGAGGCTCCTTCTTTTGGGCAACCTAGTCCATATGCAGCTCCTACTCTCATTTGCCTGCTTCAATACTTTTAAGCTTTGTTCTCAATTCTTTTCATTTGGGGAGGGACTGCTTTTCCTTATTCTCCCTCTCTACATCAAATTACAATTAGTTTACGTGGCAGAAAGTTCCTGAACCTGACCCCAGAGCAATTGATCCCTAATTAAGTTAACTCTCTCTCTCCTCTCTCTCTCTCTCTCTCCCTCTCTCTCTCTCTCTC